CAGCAAACACTCCGTTTCCCACCCTATCAACTGCCAATTAGAGCCGGCTCTAAACAGCAAAACTCCTGTTTCTAAAACTGGGCTCATTTTGTTTTTTAAACAGCCAGTGTAATTGACAAATAAAAGCTATTTGAATGTATAAAATGTTCATTATCTCTGTGGGGTGCCGAGCAGCAAAATATAAGGCAGATTTCCCTTTTATTTTGGTGTGGTGGTTGGAAGGGCTGGCGTGAGGCTGCTCGGCAGAGTGCAGTGCGTTGGCCTTCGCTCTCGTTGCCCAAAACTCCGGTTCTTTTCATTGAAAAAAATGAAGCCGGGTGCTTTGGCTACGCACGTCCCGTGCTCAGGACTTCACCTCCCCGCTGCCCCGTCAGGCGCGAGCATGTCGGTTGCCAGCAGCCGCCCTTCGCCGCTGTGGGGGAAGCAAATTGCTGGCCGGGGGTCTGTCTGTCTGTCCCTCTGAACCAGTGACTCCCCAGCTCTCGGTTGTCCTGGGGGGGGGCCTGGCAGCCGCCCTCCTCCCACCTCTGCCCTCTCCAAGCTTTAAGAGCTAACGCCATTTCCCGGGCACGCCACGGCAGCGGTGGGCTGCGTGCGGCGGGGCGGCCAAACCCCCCCGTATTTACCGTGGCTTCGCTGCCAGGCGTGCCCCTCGCTGCTGGCCTTGGCATTTGCTTTCTGAGAGGGGTCCTGGCCGGCACCGCTCGGGCCGGGGAGGGTCAGGGCAGGCCTCTGAGGTTGGTGGTGAAGCTGATGTTGAGCCCAGGGCTGCGAACTTGGAGTAGCTCGTCCGCGCCCAGGAGCTGTTGGGCAGTTTTCTTAGAGGAGGAGAGTCCGAGCAGCTTCTGGAGGCTAACTCTGACTGAGCTCTGCTTTCTCTTTCAGCAAAGTACCTTAAAGATGGATATAGAAGACTGTAATGGACGATCTTACATATCTGGTATGTCTGATCTTGATTTTTGCCAGCTGTTTTGGGTTGCTAATGTTTTAAGGTGCTCAGTCTCACCCTCTGGGGATAAGCTATCCTGGGCTTGGTTGCTTTGTCCGGGGCTGCGCTGCCGTCACCATCACAGATTAAGCATTGGGGAGCAGTATTCAGAACATCAGCGCGTTTCATTAGGTATCTGAGAAGCGTTAAAGCCCATGACGTAATAAACAGCTAATTTAAAAAACGGTACTTAGGCAAGCCTTGGAAGTTTACGCTGAAGTTTATGTGCTTGTGTCTTCACCTGCTGATCTGGTGCCGGCACGACAGCGGTAGGTGAGATTCCAAGCCTTGCTGCAAGCTGCAAGGGCGACGTAGGGAAGTGTATTTGCAGCGGTGGGTGCGCAGTGCCAGCGCCGAAAGGTCTCGGGGAGGTTGGTCGTTCCTGCAGGGCTCCGGGCTGCGCTCTCCAAGTGGGTGGCTCAGCCCCGCTCTCCTCTTCGCTGAATGCACGATGCCGAAACAGCGCGGTATTGAAGACCCCCCGCAGGTGATCTCAGCCCTGCGCCTGGCCAAGCCCAGCTATTGCCTGTTGGTGGGCGTTAAGCTGAAACCCAGGCTGAGTTCCAGACGTAAAGCCGTGAAGTGTCTGTGGGGAGGGGGGGAGGCGGCGTGGGGCTCACCTCAATCGTGGTGCTGGAAGCTGCCGGCGTGCCGAAACGCTCTGTAACCGGCGGAGCCGCACAGACCGGAGCTGCTGTGCTGGGGGTTGCAGCCCCAGTGACCGTCTCGAGGGGACCCTGGGGGCACTGGGGGGATTTAGATTATCCGCTTGCCTGTAGAAACCTGCCTGGCAGCCGGTATGGGCTCCAAGTGAAAGTTGGTTTGGTGGGATTTGTTCTTATCTCTGGGGGACTGGTGTTTGCAGTGTGAAAACACCTCAGTTTGTCCATCTTTGCTCGGGAGGAGAAGGGGATTAGAGTAAGACCTGATGTAGATTTACAAGTGGTAAAGCCAGAGGAAACTCTGGCGATTACCTAATCCCAGCGACCCGAGAGGCCGGAGGGCGGCTCTGCGCGAGCCCTGTGCACGGAGCAGCTGTGGATGAATGGCTCCGCGGGGATGGAGGTCGGGAGTTGAGGCGCGTTGGAAGGGAGCGAGGGCCCCGGCTGTTCTAACGAGCGGTTGTGGTGGCCGGGACTCGGTGCATTGACAGAGCTTCACAGGGGAACTTGCACAAAAATCACGCTGGATCTTGGCCGTCCTGGCAAAGTTCATCCTCGGAGTTATTGTGTGCTCCTTCTTTCAATGACGATTTCCTCCGATCCCCGGAGGATCCTCGCTCGGGTTAGACGCTTGGCTCTTCTCAAGGCGCTCCCTGCAGTTTCCCGCTTGGGTTTCGGGTGCCAGGATGTCTCCACTAAATAACAAAATGCCTCCCCAAAGCATTTTGGGGTGCGTGTGAGCTTTCAGTTCTAGAAGTCCTGGGGGTCTGAGGTTTAAACAGCTCCTGGGGCTTGGAGGGAAGGGGAAGGATAAGGGATGGGAGAAGGGAAGAGCGGCACTACAGGAACTCTGCGGGGTCGTCCCAGCCAGGGTGGGCTTTCTTTTTTCACTTCCCTGGTACTTGGGGAGTGAAGCCTGTGCTGCCTGGCCCTGGGGGTCAGGGCAGGCCTAATGAAGATCAGCTAATCGTTAGGGTCAGGGTCAAGGCCTGCCAATTAGCCGCTTCAGGTCAGAGCTGCTGCGGGTCTGAAATGACTGGAGGAAACAAACAGCAGAGCTCTCGAAACTTGTTTCTGTGAAATATGTTTAATTAAACGAACTCTTAAAAAAAAGTTCATGTTTGTCAGATAGCGAGGTAACTGAAAGCCCGGAAACTCTTCATGAATGTGAAATACTTTTTCTTCTTTGAATTCTTCACAGGAAAATAAGTCAGTTTTGAAACAGCTCTGGTAGAGACAGAGCCGTTACTGCGGGGGGTAGGAACAAGGTGGAGGCGGGCAAGAGACCTCTCCATGCTGCTTGCCAGTTCCTCAGGTGGCACATCCTCGGGTTGTAAGTCCTTCTGGAGACACTTAACCCCAAAAACCAGCGTTGGGATCATGCAGGTAACAGCTTTGCTGTTCCTTGCCTGTGTCTGTCCTGCCTGCTGGGCGGCATTGCCGTTTCGCAGGCGGGAAGAAGGGCTGAGCACTGTCCGAGCCAGCGCAGCCCCGCGCAGAAGGAGGCACCGGAGCCGCCCCACCCCAGACCGAGGACCGTGCAGGCAGGGTGGGATCGGGTCCCTGTCCCGCCGCCGTTTCTCACGGGATCCTGCTCTCCCTCGCTCCCATCCTCTCCCTGGGATGGCTGAGTGGCCTCGGAGGTCTGCCTCCGCTTCTCTTGCCCATGTGTGTGCATGTCAGAGGCTGATGGAAGATGGGGGATGTTTTCAGGCTGTCCCCCCCCATCTCTGCTCCCCAAAACAGCCCAGGTCTCCTCCATTTTACCCTCTTTTATTTGGGTGCCGGGCACCTGAGAACGGGGTTAAACGCTCTCAGCTCCTTGGATAACTGGGCTACAGACAGACGAACTGTCTCTTGCCTGACGTTCAGGTTTCCATTTGTTTTTTTAGAGCAAATGAAATGTGACCCAATATTTCCTGAAATCTCAAGTCTGAAAAGTTATCGGAGAGGGAAATTGCTGAGAGACTGTCGAAACCAGGCGCTGGTTGCTCCCAGGGGTGGGATAGTGCTTCAGCTCTCGCTGTCGGCAGCGGGCAGCCTGCCCGCCTTCCCGGGGCTCTGAGCCACTCACAGGAGCCGTTATCGGGGCTCCCGGTGTCAGACCCGCTGCTGCACGGAGGGAAAAACCCCGTCCCCCTCTGGGGGGGCTGATTTTCTGGAGTGGGGGGGGTTCCTGGCAGAGGGCCATGCGGCTCTGTGTGGGTTCGATAGCGATCCCTCCCAGGGGAGCAGAGGCTCTTGGCAGTGCGAAGGTTTGTGCTGGCCTGACCCCTGTGTCGGGGAGGGCTGGGTGCCAGGGATCCTCTCGGTTATCCCTTAGTGCTTCCAGTCAGGAGGAGACCGGGGATCCCTTGGGATAAGAAGGATCCTGTGGGATCTGGAGGATGAAGCTAGCTGGCAGAGGAGCTGAGCTTTGAGCAGAAACAGGATGCTGTGCCCTGCCTTTACATTTGAAGGGACTGAGGAGAAATAAAAACTTTATTTTTCTACCTAATATTTAACTTAAATTCTAGTTTGGAGTTTTTAACCTTTCTCTAATACATCGGAGATTGGTGGCAGCTGGGAACAGGTTGTAAAACAGTGTGGCGGGGTTCTTCCTGCTGTCGGCAGCGCCCAGGTGCTTTGTTAGCGAGCCCTGATCTCATCTTCAGGGATAAGCCTGGGACCAGTAGGGTCTTTTTTTTTTTTTGTAGGATGGGAACAGCATGCCAAGGTAAGCTCACCTGGAAACGCTGCCTACAAAATTCCCTTGCAACTCCGGCACGAGGCTGTGGGCTCGTGTGTGGTGGCCGTTAGATACGGATGGGTTTGTGGAGGCAGAGTGCTGGGAAGGCGTGAAGTGCCTCATCGGGGCTGCCTGGCTCTGGTGTGCTCCGGCTCCGGACACGCTGGGCAGCCCCGGGACTTCAGTGGGAGCCACCTGTGCTCTGTTTTTTGAGCTGAGGACCGAGACTTCGGTGTCCCCATCCCTTACCAATACAGGAGGGTCAGAGCCCAAATGAGCCATCGCTGACTGTAGGCTGACAGTGGGGACAATGCTGTCCTCCCTCCAGTCATCGGATCCTGTTTTCCACCGATATTTCGGGTCCCGTGCCTGGTTGTGGAGCCCCTGGGCAGCCAGCTGCGTTGTGAGGGCAGAGCAGAGACCCCGCAGCATCTCTGGTCCCCCGTCCCCCTGCCGCTCCCTCCTCTCCCTCCTTAGAGCATCGTCCCCGGACGGCCCGGCGCGGCTCCGTGCTCTCCGAAGGCCACGGCCGCGTGTCCCCGCGCCGGGGAGCGGCACAGCCTGGGTTCCCGCTCGCCGTGCCGCCTGACTGTAAAATGACGGTCGTTTCCCTCGCTTCCAGGAATCTGCTCTTCCTGGAAGGTGAGTGGCTGCGTGCGCCCTGCCAGCGACGCAGACATGCACACGCAGCCTGGGCTCCAGCGCTGTTTCCAAGGAGTTGGCTGTGATAACACTCCAGGGTATCTCCAGCAAGGTAGAATAATGCGAGTTAAACGGGAGCGGCGGGGGGGTGGGGGGGGGCGGGCGGGGGGGAGGGAGGAGGATCCTGAAATAACTCGGTGCCGTCTCCGCTCGCTCGCTGTGCGCGGAGGAGAAGGGGTGCAGGGGCAGAGGGACTGACTCTGGAGGGTGATTTATAGGTGCCTGAAATCCCCAGTGCTGGCAGGGAGGAGAGGGGAGGAAAGGCCTGACCCCCCCCTGGGACGCCCGTGGAGGCGAATGTGAGCGAGGTAGGCTCAGGACGCCGCTTGTGATGTACTGAGCCCTTTTGAGAGGGTCGGTCTCACCCCAGGCAGCTGCTATTTGGTTTTGGGCCGCAGGACGTGCCCCCCAGCCCGCAGAGCCAGCTCCCTCGTCGTTCAGCCTTCTCGTTAACCTCTTCTGCTGTGGCTGGCGGTGCACGTAGGCTTCGTGTGACTCAAAGTCGCTGTCAGCAGCTTGCCAGCCTCACCGAAGTGTGGGGAGGGGAGAGGGAAGGGTCCTTGAAGTCTCTCCCTCTGTGACCCCATGAGGAAGGGAAACCTCTTTAAAACGCTGCCGCGGGGCGTTGGGAAGGATGAGGATGCTGCTGGGGTGTCCCAGCTCGGTCTCAGTCGAGCAGCAATTTAGAAGATGCTGTCTCACCGAGGGCAGTTACCATAAATGATTCCCATGCTCAGCGAGGCTGATGAGCTCAGCGTCCCCATAGTCATCAGACAATGGGATGAACTGGGCTCGGGGAGCACCAAGAGAAGAGTTTCTCCAGATGCGAGTATTTAGAAATAACATTCCCAGCTGTGCTAAAGGCGTTCACGGAGCTTCTGCACTTCCCATCATGAATCTCCGCCGGCCCCAGCCCCACAGCATCGCTGAGGAGTGGCCCGGCTCTTGGGCACGCCGTGGGGAGGGCTGGCACGGAACCGGGGCTTTTCTGCGCGCTGGCAGGCGGCAGGTCTCACCGGAACAGAAACCTGCTAGCCCCCAAAGGGGAAAAAATGAGTCTGGCCTGCCGCGCACCAGCCTTGCGCTCGAGGTGATCTGGTAGGCAGAATTTGCTTTCCAGTGTGAACGGCCTGTTTCCAGGGACTGCAAGGGCCCATCCGGGGTGGGCTCGGCTTCCCGGGGACACGAGTGTCTGCTTGGGAATTGTCACTTCAGCAGGGACTGTTGGGGAGGGGGGACCCCGGTGCCCAGCGAGGGGACCCGCTCGCCCGGGTGGGGCGCTGGGCTCAGCCTGGCAGGTCAAGGCCCGGGTCGTGTAGGTTTAGATTGATGTTTCATGCATGGGGGGGTGGCCTGGCTTCCCCCCCGGCTGGCACACCTTTGCACCACGGTGCCGGCCGGGGCTGCGGCAGAGCCCACCCCTCGCCCCTTCGGCAACCTCTCTGCAAGCTGGCGAGGAGGGCGAAGCGCGCTGCTGCTGTCGGCACGGCGCTGGCTCGGGGCTGTTGTGTCCGAGGAGCTCACAGCCAGAGGACCATGGTGCAGAAAGCACCAAGCTCCTGTCTAATGCTGTGCTGGTGTGCGTGGCAGCCAGTGCCGTCGGGGTCAAAGCCGTGTCCTCCAGCCCCTTTCCAAAGCGGAGGTGCTGGGAAGGGGGCTTGGTGGGGTGAAGCCAGTGGGAGCCCACACGCCGTGCTTCGGGCATCGCTCACTTGTGTTTCCCTCCTCCCAAAGGTAGTGGGGATTCCTCTCTGGAGAAGGAGTTCAGCTCGGCGATCGTGGGACCCACGGTGAGCACACCCAACAGCCAGCACTCCTCCCCGAGCCGCTCCCTCAGTGGTGAGTACGCCGACTTCGCTGAAAAAAGCTGTGCCAAGGTCTGCCTGTTTTGTCCCCAAACCCTGCAACTCTCTCAGGCGTGACATAAATTTTGACTTCCCGCTGTGACTCTGAGTCTGACTCTTTGTTTTCCAAGTGAAAAGGATAAAACTCTGCCTTGGTCTCTATGCGGAGCAGCTGCCCGGTTACCAACCCTGGGCACCGGGTGTTGCTGAGCCTGGAGGTTTTCAGATCGGCTGCAGCAATGCCCAGGAGTGTCGGGGTCTTTCTTTGTGGTTCTGAGTTTCACCTTGACTATCAAGCAGCTGCGTATTCCAGGTTGTTAATGATCTCAACTCTGGAGGGGCTGCAGAGCCATTGGTTGCTCTGGAATAAGTTTTTGTTTTTTTTTTTTTTTCATATCTGTCTAGATGGCTGTGTGGGAAATGAGAAGCTGCTCCACTTCCTCCCGTGTAGCAGCTGGGGCAGGTTGGAGTCCGCGGCGTGCACAGCAGTTCACGTAGCACCTCAACTCTGCCTCGACATTAACGAGCCTGTTGGGAAGTTATTTGTGTAGCCGTGGGAGACTCAGAGAGCCCCCGGCATCTTCGGATACACTGGGAATGCTGGAGGGTGATGAAACACACCACCAGCTCCCAGGCTCTGCCTGCCACCGGCCAGTCTGCGCCGTTTGGTTTGGGCACCGGCTTTGCTGCCGTGTCTCTCTGTCCTTTCTGCCCGCTCCCCCCTGCCAAGAAATGAGCAGAAGAGGGGCCGGCGGCTGCTCCTTGGGAAGCTCCTCTTCTGCCATCCCTTGTCACCTCGCAGAGCGGGTGCGTGTCCCCGGAGGTCTTGCACGGTCGTGCCTCTGCCTCCCGGTGCTCTCGCCCGGCAGAGTGCCATCAGCTGAGCTGGTGGCTGGCGCCTGACCGGCATCCAGAAACGGGACCGGTGTGGGGAATCTCCCATCCACAACGTGAAACTTTCCACCTCCTTCCCTGTCTACTGATGGAATTCTCTACTATTTATTTAAAACAAATTAAACTGCTTTTTCGGTTATCTTGAAGAACCCCCTCCAGTAAAACAGATCTGATTTCGGAGTTGTCCCAGTCTGTCCCTTGTCCTGGCGTGCCGTCCGCTCCCGTTGCTCACTGCGGCCAGTGAGGAGAAACGTGACGTTTCCCTCGTGCGTTGAGGAACGGCGTGGCCTGGGTGAGCTCGGCACGGCTGGTACAGGCTTAACTTGCAGAGACGCGGTTTCGATCGCAGCCTTCTCAGGGCATCAGTCAAGTTTCCGTGGGCCACGTGTGCCACTGAGTCGCGTTGATGCATGAAGAGAAGGAGGGCTGACACGAGAGGAGTTGCCAAGTCCCGCTCTGAATTGCTCTCTCGGTATTCAGGAGCTGACAGTTGGGCCATCTCTACCAGATTGACTCAACCGACACCGAAAAGACCGGCGCTGCTCTGATCTTCCCCTGCTCCCAGCTTCCAGCAGGCAGGTTCCTGTTGCTTTTCCATGGCAGAGAAACTCCCCCATAATTTATCCGTGTGGGCTTCCAGCAGCTAGGTGCTTGGGACACCCCTGGTTAGGTCCTGGCGTTTGAAGGTTCCTCTTTCTGAACCGGGATAAAATAGACCCAAAACATTACATTTTCAGAAGCGGTAGTGTTATGAATTAGCTCTGTTGCCTTTTTTTTTCCTTTTATTACTTGCTATTTATTTTACATGTGCCCTGTAAAGACACTTAGAAGCTCTGCAAAGAAATGAAATCTTGGCTTTTTCGCAGAGGACAGTTCTGAGAGGTAACGCAGCCTTTTCGATTGATCAGAAGCAAAAGGAATTGAGCACATGGGACTGACTGAAAGGACAATAATGATCCTTTCCCCTTTAACAGCAGGATGCTAGTGATGGTATTGCCTCTGATCTGACTTGACTTCACAGCTGGTTCATCCAGCAAGCATCGTGCCCCAGAGGAGCAAGAATATTATATAACCTGTTCTGCCAGCAGAGACTTCTCTTCAGTGAGACCGGACTCTGCATTGCTTCTGAAAGGAGAATTACAGAACAATAGTTGGCCTCCCTTCTATGCCCAGGAAAAAAAATAAGTCCTCAGGGGAATGGGAGGAAAAAAAACCAAAAAAAAAAACCCCAACCAGAAAATCAAAGTGCAGCAAACGTCAACTCATCCAGGCAGCTCCCACCACCGAGAGAGGAGCTTTTCACTTCGTGTTTGTGCACAGAGGCGGCTGTTTGCGCTGGGTCTCCTGGATGCTCCCAGGGGAGCGTGGTGGCACCGGCCAACACATAAATAAAGTTCTGCTCCCCCCCGCAAGAATGCTTCAGCCGCAGAGCCTCCTCCCGGTCTGCAGCCAGCGGTGGCTTTGGCCAGTGGCTCAGCAGACGGTCTGAAAGTGCCTCCGATTGCCAAGGCCGGGTGTATGCACAGTTCACGTTGCCTGGAGCCTCTCTGGGAAGGCAGCATTGTCTGCCGCGAGGATCCAGGAAGGGAAGGAGGGGAGCGAGAGCCAGAATTCCTGGGCTCTTCACCCGGCAATAAACCTCACGCAGTCTCGGATGAATCACTTCCATGCTGCTGCTCCTCGTTAATCCCCACTTGCAAAGCCGTACCTAGCTCTGGGGAAGAGCCAGAGCCCTCCCCGCCCGCCGTGTCGAAGGCGGCGCGGGAGAGGAGCTTTCCTCTCGGGGCGCATGGCCCGGCGCCTTGGGGGCCGCGCGGCCGCCCTTCCCGGGGGAGTGGGAGGCGTGGGTCTGCCCAGAACCGGGACCATCTCGCTGCTGTCGTCTCCGCTCTCCGGCGTTCGCGCGTCCTCCCTGCCCGGTAAGCGACCCAAAGCCTTCCCGCTCGCCCACCGGGACGTCCCTGCCTCAGCCGATGTGAGAGTCTGTTCAGGAACATCCTCCCCCACCCCAGCCAGGTTTTTAAGGTCAAATCCTCCGGATAGTTAACGTCCACCTGGGATGTTACCAAGGTTTTCTCGAATCCTGGTGCACTGCGCCCGTCGGCATGCCGCGGGCGTCCCCGGACCGTGGGTGAGCGTTCGCTCTCTCACAAAGAGCTGAACGAGCCCCAGGGGTCGAGTCAGCACCAGATCTGGAAGCTGCTGGGATTTCTGTGTGGTTGCGCTCAGCCTGCTCCGTTCTCACGCCTGGCTCCACAAGGCAGCTTGGACTCTGCAATCTCCTACCCTCCGGGCAGCAGCAGAGTCTCCTTTGTGTATATAAAGTTCAGTTTCCTCCAGCCCCCACAGTTCTCCTCTTAAGGGATTGGGAAGAGCCTCCTGCTTTAAATGGAAGAAATAAGAATCTGATATTTAAAGGGATTCTGTAAATATTTTGTTTAAGCCCGTGGGCTCGGTGCATGGCCATGTGGGTGACCTGGATTCGACTTTACTCCAGCGTCATCTTCCTCCAGCCTGCCAGGACCAGCGCCACGGGAGCAGGTAGTGGGTGTGATCGGCCGAGGAGCGGCCGTCCCCAGCCGGAGAGCGCCGGGGAGCCTCCCCAGGGAATTCCGCCTCGCTGCTGGCGATGGCTTAAAGTGGGAGGAAACTTTCCAATTTGATCGTTTAACGACAGGCTCTCCAAACAGACGACATTTCACCGAGGCTGAGGGTGTCCCGGCGGCAGTTATCCCTCGAGCGGAGGGTACAGCTGGCATCGCGAGGTGGGATGGCCGCTCAGACCCTCGGCCGAGGGAGGAAGCGTGCAGGATCTGGGTGGACAAATTCACCGGGAGGAGAGGGAGAGGTTTCCCCATCCTTCCCTCTCCCGGTCCCCGCAAGGCTGCAGCTTGCTGGCAGCGGTGGGAGCGGAGCGGTCGCCGTCGTCTCGGGGAGTGTTTGATTTGTGGCATTCCACAGATCATTAGAGCAGCCGGGAATGTAGGTCAGGGCTGGCGCATCCCCTCGCCAGGCTCCGCTCCTGATGCTGCGGGAGGAAGGAAAGGTAGCGGCGGGGAGGGAGACCCCGGGGGCTTTGCTGTGACGGGGAGACCCAGCTGCTGCCGGGCCCTGCGCCCCTCTGCCGTCCCGCTTGGGTGGGCTTCTGGAGCCCCGCTCCGCCGGCTCCTGCCCTCTCGCCTGGGCCAGAAACCCTGCGGGGCGGCTGCTCCCGCCCCTCGCCTGCGGGACCTTCCCCTGGTCCATCGCACCCACTTCCCTCGTTTCACACAAGCTTTTCTTGGCGCTTTCGGTGCCCAAAAACCAACCCACGGGTGTCTGCAGGGCTGGGGGTTTCCAGGCAGCACCATCCTCTTGGGTTTTGTTTTTTTGCCTTTAAGATAGTTAATGGATCTTGGAGCAAAGATGAAAACTTGTGGTGAAGCAGTGTCTTCTCTAGCGAGCCGAGATTTACGGACCGTCCAAGAGACTTGTGTTAAGCACTTTGTGCCAGTGGATTTTGAGCCTTTACTGATTCAGAGAGTCAGAATTTGGTGTCTTTGCTTCCTCTGCAGTACCTTAAAAGCACAGGTGTTTTTTCTTTCCCCCTCTGCCTTCGCATTCAGGGAACTAAATTTCTTTTTCTTCAGCCAGTCACCTTACAAGGCGGGGTGCAGAGCAGGAATCTCTGGGGCGTGCAAACAAGCCGTCCAGGCCGTAGCCTTGTGTGATCCGTGTTTGATGTCTGTTCTTGAGTAGTCCACAAAATAATAAGACCCATGTTTATCGCAAACAAATCACTGAATGCATCACAGTATTTCTTTTAGGAGTAAGTCTTGCCCGAGCTGTGCTCCCAACTTTTTTAACCGAAGAGTTTTTTTCCCCTCCACTGACTGTGTCTCTCCCCTTCTTCTCCTCGCAGCAAACTCTATCAAGGTGGAGATGTACAGCGATGAGGAAGCCAGCCGGCTGCTGTCACAGGATGACCGGATGCTGGAGAAGGAGGACAGCGTGATCGTGGAGGACTCGCTCTCAGAGCCCCTGGGCTACTGCGACGGGACGGGCCCGGAGCCGCACTCCCCCGGGGGCATTCGGCTGCCCAACGGCAAGCTGAAATGTGACATCTGCGGGATGGTGTGCATCGGCCCCAACGTGCTGATGGTGCACAAACGCAGCCACACTGGTGAGCGGCAGCCCCGGGGCAGGGGCAGGGGCAGGGTGGGCTCGAGGGAAGCAAAGTTCTGAAGCCGGGTGGCGAGCGGGTGTCGGCTGGCGGGCACGGGTGCTGCGGGAGAGGGATGTCAGGTCTGAGACGCTGACCCCGCTGCTGGCGGCCAGAAGCTGCCGGTGAGGAGAGATCCAGGAAAGCACACGTAGCTGATCTGTCCTCATCAATGCCCAACCTCCAGCAGTGGGTCTGTCACTCCCTGGGTTGGGGGTCACATCAAGAGCTGGTAGTTAACCCTCTTAAACGTGCCCAGCGCTGCTGAACCTGTGGGTGCCTCTGGTCTCCTGGGCTGTCGATTCGAGAGCTTCCCCCCGGCAGGCTTGGAAAATGCTTTTCCTCGGGAGTTTCACCCACGGCTCTGGTTTTGCAGGAGAAAGGCCGTTCCACTGCAACCAGTGCGGAGCTTCCTTCACCCAGAAGGGAAACCTCCTGCGTCACATCAAACTGCACTCGGGCGAGAAACCCTTCAAATGCCCCTTCTGCAACTACGCGTGCCGCAGGAGGGATGCGCTCACCGGCCACCTGCGAACACACTCCGGTGGGTAGCTCTGGCCGGCGGCGGGCTGGGGAGGGAGGAGGAGGCAGGGAGGGAGCACACGGTGAGGGCACAAAACCAGGGATTTGAGCCCAGCTTCCAAAAGCGCCAGCCTCGACCTCCCGCCCGACAGCAGCCAGAATTGCTCTCGTGTCGGCTCCCGGCTTGCCGACGTGCCGAGGGCAGAGCGTGTGCCCAGGGGAGGAGGTTGTGTCGGTGGCTGGTGAATGGTTTGGGAACCCCGCTGACCGGAGGGGGCACCTGCGGGGCTTTGTGCCGCTTCGTTTCAGTCATTCCTGGGGGTTATTGCATCTCTCGCTTATAAAGATAAATGTTTAATAGATTTTATTGAGTCAAGATAGGTCCCACCCCTGGGTGTGCCCTGCCCCAGTGAAAATGAGCGCTGAGGGGTTTTGTTTGTGTGTTGTTTTGACATTGTCCTTTTTAAATGTGACATTTGAGATGTGGTTTTCACCCTCTGGTTCCGTGATGTAACAGCTGGCGGGGGCCATGGGTGGGAGTGAAGCACGCCAGCTGGCCCCCTGGTTTGTGATCCTTTTCCCTTGATTTGCGTACCAGCGTGTCTCTGCGGTGCTGCCGGGGCTTTTAAAGTTCACGCAGATGGCTTTGAACACCTGTGACTCTAACCTTTCGAGTGCTGCATGGAAATGACTGTTGTGTGCTTCCTTGGAGGAAGAAACCTGTCCCCTGAAGAGCTTGTTCTCATCACAGCCTTGCCCAGCAGCCCAGAAACCTGCTCCCCCCTCGCAGACTGGCCCGAGATCCTTGATTTTCTTTACATTTCTGCCCTTCTCAGTTGGAGGGTGCGATGCTCCAGGTTTAAGCTACCATCTTTCTGTGGAGAAATCTTCCCCCTTTGCTCTTTCTTTCGGGAGGTGGTTATCTCTCTCCCACACACACACCTGAGTCTTTCCAGGAGATGCCGGAGAGGAATCTGGGTGGTTTGACCCCCAGAGCAAGGTGCCAAGCCTGGAATGGAGCTGTTAGTTCTCGCCCGGTGACTGCTCAGGAGGAGGTTTGGGGGTTTGCAGGAGCTTTCCACCCATTATATTTTGCCTTTGAACACCTCTGCTGCCAAGGGACAAAGCTGCTTCTCAATGTAAAACTTTTTTGGTCTCTTGTCTGGTTCTTCAGCCTGGCCAGAATATGGCAGTGGTTTCTGATACCAGGAAAGAGTTGGTTTCACCCCAGGAGAAGAGGTGAGATTAGCAGCCTTGGGCTTTGCCAGTTAAGGGGGAGAAATGCCAGATCCTTTCCCCACATTCTTTCCTTATCTCTGAGGGGGTGAAAAAAAAAAAAAAAAAAAAGGCAAGAAGGCAGTAATTGGATGCAAAAACGCTTGTGTCATTAACTCTAGAGAGCAAAGAGCGTGTGCGTCTCCTCCGCCCCGCTCAGGGGGTGAGGACAGCCCGGCTCCGGTGACAGCCCGGCTCCCCACGAAGCACCACAGCGGCTGCTCGGAGCAGCCGAGCCACGGCCGCTCCACGATGAGTCCTTCAGCCCGGAGCCATCGGCTTCATCCCTCTTCTTCCCCTCCGCCCCCGGCTGCTCCATCTTGGGCAGCGTCGCATCGGCTTGGGGAGGAGTTACCGCGCGGCAGAGCCGAGGGCTTTGGCACCCGTCTGCCGTGGGCTCGCCTTGCCGGCGGCTCTTCCCCACGAGCTGCCAGGGTGCTGCTGACGAGCCCCTGCCCGGGCACCTTTGGCACGTGTTTTTTTTTGGCAGGGTGCTCTGGAGCCAGGTGGCTCCTGGGTTTTTGAAAAAAAAAAAAATCTCCTGGTGCGTCTGGAGCAGAGTCCCAATAGGAAGGTCCCCATTCTTTGCTTGGTTCAAACTCTCCCCATCCCCTCCGTGTTGGGGTGTGGGGTTTTGGGGCGTTACGTGGCTGACCCCCATTCCGGGAACCCCGACTCGCAGCCGAGACGTTCGTGCAGGTGGATGTGCAGAGACAAACGTGGGGCACAAGGGCTGACGAGACCCTGCTCCGAGCCTGCCTCGGGCTCCCAGGGCTTTCTCCTAATTAATGAGCTCCAGGGGACCCTGAACCGTCCAGAGCCAGGGACACAGGGTTGTTTCTGGACTCCTCGGTCGTGTCTCCTCCCGTGGGTCGGGGTCCCCTTCTCAGGCTGTGCCTGCCCACCACGTTTGCCCTTGCCAAGTGTCCAGAGGTGGGTCCTGGGCAGAGCTGTGCCCACATCTCCCCGCTGCCAGGCATGGAAAGGGTCACCTGGAGTCCTTCAGTCAAGACACACAGAAATGGGACAAGCCCTCACAACATATCAAAAAAAAAAAATTAGTCTTTATGGGAGCTAATTAATAAGAAGAACCTTGGTTTAATGTGGATTTCACAGGCGAAAGTCTAGCGGTTACTGTGCCTGGGTGGAAGGCAGTGGGGCTTGACTTTCCCTCCCTCTGCCTTAACTAGAGACATGTGCGTTTCATGCCATCCCCATGAGGGACACGGAGCTTTCATCTCAGAGGATGTGCTGTCCAAAAAAGTGAGGTATTAAAATCCAGATCAAACACGCTGCGTTGCTCTGAAATAGATCAGAAGCTGCAACCCACACCCGGGACAGCTGAGACGAGCCGCCGTCCCCCGAGACCTCCCTCCCTTTTAGTCCTCGCCGCTTCGCAGCCCAGTAAATAAACGAACCTGGAGCTCGTGTTCGGAGGGAGCCTTTCTGTTTGTTGTACTTGGTCAGAAGAAACTTCTCCTGGCGGGGCCTGGCAGCGAGGAGTGCGTCCCCCTTGCTCACGTTTTGGGTATTACATGGGTGAGGAGCTAAGCAGGCCTGGTTGCTCGCTGGAAGCCTCTCGCTCGCGTTAGGTGACAGATGGTCCGAGACACGAGCACGCGTCGGTGGGTAAATGGTGACATTTTCAAAGAACAGACTAAGGAGTAAAAGGAAAAGCGACTGATGTCAAGGCCAAGCCCGGCTCAGGACGCAGCCTCCCTCCTTGTCCTGCAGCCGCTGTAAAACCCCGTCGCTGAGCCCCGGCGAGGGGAAGCCCAGCGCAGCCTTGGCAAACCACCGTGGCAGGGCATGGCTGCGGCGTGGGCAGAGCCTCGACGCCGGGAGCGAGCCCTTTTGCTGCCGAGGTGCGTGGGCAGGAGGACAGCTCGGGCCCCACGGCCCCGGTGTCCCCGTGTTGGGTGATGGCCGGGTCCCAGGCTCCGCTGTGTCCCACTGTCCCCCTGCGCCGCAGGCAGCTGCCTGGCCCCAGAGCCCCGAAACGCAGGCTGGGGTGGGGAAGAGGGAGCCGGGATCCTGAGGAAATAACTTCAGGGTATCCACGCTTGGAAAGCCAACCCCGATCCCATTGCAGCCGTCGGGAGAGCTTTGCAAAGCGCAAACGTACACAGGGGTCTGGGTTGTTGTTCTGTTTAGGAGTAACAAAACTGAGCCATTTGGGGAACTCTTAACTTTGAAAGCTGCAGAAGTGATGGAGATTAATGAGGCATAATGGAATTTGGAGTTGAGGCTCTCGCATCTAAAGCGCTCGATTTGAGGAGTAAATTCCTAACGCACATTTTTGTGTTTGTACTCGGAGGCTAGTGGCATCCTCGCCTCCCTTGGGACTGGAGCAAACCAATATTCAGCTGCTCTGCGACAATGCTGCTGCCTGGGGAGGGCTGGGAGGAGAGATTTGCACTTGTCATCGGCTCCTCGGGATTGATTTCTAACCCGGAGCTTCGGTGGTGAAATCCACGGCGGCTCCTGGACGCCCGGATCTGCCTGTGGCTTGGCTGGGACCGGGCAGGGCCCCGGCGCGCGTGGACGCAGCCGGGCTCCTCGTTGCCTGCCGCTGTTGGGGGCTGCCGCGGTGGTGTTTGGGCAGGAGCCGGTACAAGCTGCTGCAGGGGTTGGTGCTGGCCCCACTTCCCAGCTGCAAAACACTTGATGTGAATCCAGGTGTCAGAGCTGGGGCGGGGGGTAAATGTGAATTCACCTACAGCCTGAAAATGTGTTGTTTTGGTTTTTGGTTGTTTTTTTTTTTTTTTTTTAAAAAAAAAAAAAAAGCAGTTAAAGGTTAAACCACAAGCTGCAAGAAAAAAAACCCCAAACCACCCCATAAATCTGACAGGAACAGAAAGAGCCCGGTCCAGGCAGGTCGTGGCAGACAGCGTGCTCCTCCCCGAGCCTCGCGCCGGAGCCGGACGGGGCGAGCGTGACGCAGGTGGCTGCCGTGGGGCTGGCTGACGTCACGGGCGGAGAGCGATGGGCTCCGGCTTCCAGCAAAAGCGACCGATTTTGGGTCATTGCCCTGCTCCTGAAGCCAGCCTCCCCGCCCCAGTGTCGGAGGGGAAGGGCCCGGCAGCTCCCCGGGCTTGTCTCAGACACCACGGTCCCTGGCTCGTGCCTGGTGTGGACCGTGTCCCCCCCCTCAGCGTGGCACGACTCTGCCGTTTGGCATCCTGCCTTTTCTCAGGAGGCGAGCTCAGCTTCCTTTTTTTCCCATTAGCATCTTCTTGCCTAACGAGCTGCCTCCCCTAAAAGGCATCGGAGGGTGCTCAAACCCGCGGCAGCAGGTCCCTGGGAGCCTGGATCCCTTCTTCCCCCTTCCCAGGCTATTTAATGAGGTGGGGACTGCCCTGCCCTTTCCCCCGTGCCCAAAGGATGTCGGCCCAGGTACTGCCATCGTTACACCTAATTAGCAACCACCCGGCGAGCGGCACGAAACCCCCGTGTCAGCATTTGCGTTTCCCCATCCCCGGCGCAGACAGCAGCCTCGCGCGCGATGGAAACTGCGACGGGGCTCAGAGATACCATCTCCCCTCGCAAGGGGTGATGATTTTTTTGCTATGAGTAGTCTGCTGGTTAAAACACGCAGATAACGACAGGGAGCGAGGAGCACCGCCGGCTCCGCGGCATGTGGAGGCCGCTCTCCTTTGTCTGGTGGTCGCTGGCCAGCAAGGCTGAACGCTGACCTTGGATGGTTTCGGTGATTTTCAGTCAGAAGTGAGAAAATTGGGAGAGATGAGGATAAAAATGTGTCTGGCGAGCGCCTTGATCACGAATCTCACCGCGGGGGGGTTGCGTGTGTGCACACTCTGTGCAGCAACCGAGTGCTGGCCAAGCCACCGAGCATTTTGTGGCAAATGGAGGGTGAAGAAATGCTTAGAAATGTTTAAAAAGTTGGGGGGTCCAGCTGCCCCGCTTAAATATTGACTTTGCTGTCAGGGCTTCCAGCAGGAGGGTTTACCTGGAGGTGTGTAATGTGTCCAGAAAACCGTATCACTGGTGTCTTGGGAGCGGAGCGTCGGTGAAAGCCAGGTCAGAGGTGTTTTGGTTTAGGTGTTTGGCCAAACCATGATTTATTTTCCTAGCTCCCCATCTACCAGAATCCAGGAGCATCCAGCCCTTCTCCTGCAACTGTCCGTCCTCGAGGTGCCGGGGTGCGTGCGGTCGCTGCGTTTGGGGTGGATGGTGCTCGGGAGGAAGGCTGAGGCCGAAGCGCGGAGCTGCCGGCCGCGGCTCCTGCTCCCCAGCTCTGGGAACGGTTGCTCGGGACGTGCCGGAGCGATCCGTTCCCTGCGGCACAGCTCGATGGCGTGGTGGGCTGACGGCGAGGCTCGCTGCCCTGCCGTGACGCTCCCTGTCAACCCATTCCTGACATTTTTTTTTCCTCCCGTCGGCAGACATCGAGCCCTTTCCCGGGCGCTTTGGCGGGGGCACTGTGTCTGTTTTTACGGCCAGGCTCTGGTTTGCCTGTTTTGCAGTCTCCTCCCCCACTGTCGGCAAGCCCTACAAGTGCAACTACTGCGGCCGGAGCTACAAGCAGCAGAGCACGCTGGAGGAGCACAAGGAGCGGTGCCACAACTACCTGCAGAGTCTGAACACTGAACCGCAGTCGCTGGCCAACCAGCAAGGTCAGTGCCGGGGCGGGGAGGCCGGAGCCCCTCTGCCTCCCTGGCCCCGGGGACACGGTGAGGGGTCCCGGAAGGGTGGGCAAGAGGGGTCCCGGGTTCATTTGCCAGCCCTGTCTCTGGGTGACGGGGTCGAGCTCCGGGGACATCCTTCCCGTTAGAAAAAAAGGGGAGAGGTGGGGGGGGTGCTGCGTGGGAGAGAGCGGGAGCCCCGCAGCTCTCCGTGCCCCGGCGATCGTGGGATGAAAGGTGCTAACGTGTGTGCGCGTTGGTCAATGCCGCAAACCTCTGCCAGTGCAAAGCGTTACCTCCCTGGTTCCTCCCCCTCGCCGCCAGCCGAATTTCAAAGCCCCCTGAACCGAAACACACCCTCGGCCCGTGTTTCTAGTGCAAGAACTACCGGGAGCATTTTCCATAAATAACAGAAGCACAGCGACAACGCCGTGACCGGGGGGTGGGGGGGGGGGGGGGGGTTTGCCCCTGCGGGTGGGCGTCTGCAAAGGGCACCGCATGGCTTGGAAGCGCCGTGGGGCTCCCCCCTCGGAGCCTGCAGACAGACCCCACCCCCCCACCCCCCTCTTTGCTGCGCCGGCAAAGACCCAAAGCCAGAGCTTTCCTGGCTCCTCGCCCTTTCGGAGCCGGACTCGGTCCCGCTAGAGCCACCCGGTGCCTACGGCGGGGTTCACCGGTTAAGGCCGCTCGGACACTTTAACCGGATGATCCGTCACCCACGGGGCGCGGGAATGGCGGAGCTGCCCTCGCCAGCAGCGACGCGGGGCAGGTCTCTCCAGGACGGGGTTGAGAGCCGGCAAAGAAAAGCGAGGGCACTTCGATCCGTTGAAGCCGGCTCCTCTTCCCCAAAGTGGCAGGAGCGGGCCCAGCTCGATGAAGAAGGGAGGCGGACCGGCTGCCGGCGCTCCCCCGCGACCGCTTCAGCGACGGGGTAAGCTCTGGGCCTGGAGCAGGCAGCCCGGGAGCCTTTCCGCAGGTCCGTCCCAGCTAGCAGAGGGCAGAAGCGGCGAGCCTCGAGCGCTGGCTGCGGAGTCTCCGGCCTGGGTCGCAGCGTGCCCGTCCCGCTCGCCCCGTCCCGCGGTTGCCGGCTGAACCGGGTTTCCCTTGTCTTGCCAGGTGACGAGATGCGAGACCTGGAGATAGTGCCGGACTCTCTGCTTCACCCCTCGTCCGATCGGCCGACGTTTATTGACCGGCTGGCGAACAGCCTCACCAAACGGAAACGATCGACACCTCAGAAATTCGTGGGTAAGGGGATTGCCCCCCCCGCCCTCCCCTTGCTTCCCGGGCAGGCAGGAGAGCGGAGGGAGAGGGGGACCCCCTGGTCGCCGGGGCCAGGGCCCACCCCCCCCCCTCCCCGGGAGCTGAGGCTCTGCACTTGGGCACGCGGCTGGTGTCGGCACAGCGCCTTTCATCCCCACGATCCCGGGACGGGGCAGGTCTCGCGGGTGCTGCTGGGGCGGTGGGGTGGGGTGGGGGGGAGCGCGCCCCAAAACCAAGCCTGCCCGTCCTGACGCCGCTCTCCTTCCCGGCAGGGGAGAAGCAGATGCGATTCACCCTCTCGGACCTCCCCTTCGACGTGAACTCCGGCTTCGAGAAGGACGTGGAGATGGTCTCGGCCCACCACCCCCTCGACCCCTCCTACGGCAGCTCCCTGTCCCTGATGGGGGGGGAGCACCTTCGTCCCCTCCGCCTGCCCCCCACAAACTGCATCTCGGAAGTCACCCCCGTCATCAGCTCCGTCTACACGCAGATCCAGCCTCTGCCGGGCCGGCTGGAGGTGCCGGGGGGCCGGGAAGCCGCCGAGGGGCACGAGGAGGTGCCGGACGGGGTGCAGGTGGTGTACCGGGGCCGGGAGCCGGGCGCATCGCCCGCCAACGGCTGCCAGGACTCGACGGACACGGAGAGCAACCACGAGGAGCGGAGCTCGCAGCTGCCGGCGGGGAACTGCGCCAGCAGCCGCCAGAGCCCGGCCTACGCCAAAGAGGACCCCAAACTGCCGGAGGGACCCCCGGCCCCCCGCTCCACGCCCAGCTCCGCCAAAGAAGCCCTGCGGGTGGTCAACGAGGACGGGGAGCAGATCAGGGCCTTCAAGTGCGAGCACTGCCGCATCCTTTTCCTGGACCACGTCATGTTCACCATCCACATGGGCTGCCACGGCTTCAGAGACCCTTTTGAATGCAACATCTGTGGCTACCACAGCCAGGACCGGTATGAGTTCTCCTCCCACATAGTGCGGGGCGAGCATAAAGTCGGCTAAACCCACCCCCCACCAGCCCTCTCCCCGGCCCCCCCCCCCCCCCCCCAGCCCCCACCCTCCACTCTTCCTCTGTCTCTAGCTCAGCCCCTCCACCCTTAGGGCATGGAACTGTTGGTTTTTCTTTTATACTCCTTTGCACTGACTTTGGCTACAAAAAAATATTAAAAAAAAAAAAAATCAATAAGTAAAAAAAAAAAACAAAAAAAAACAAAAAAAAAAAACCAAACCAACCCCAACGAGGGGGAGCTCTTAACAATTTGCCTTTTTATAAATGGAGTTATTTAAATATTAACGGACTTTTTTGTGCTTTTCCCCCCCACCTCTCCCACCTCCCTCCGTTATTTATTAAGCTTTTCAGTTTCTCTTTTATAACTCTTTTCCCCCCACCCCACCCCACCCCCCGCCCCTTCCCAAAGTCTCACTTGAATTTTTGAGACTGTTCCCCCCGGTCCCGGTCAGCTCTCCGGCACGGGGCCACGCACCAGCCTGGAGCTCCGAGCCCGGCTTTGCCCGTTCCCGCTCTCCGGCGAAGCAAACCTCAGATTAGGTGCTAAACCCCCCCGGGACTCCACCCCCCTCAGCCTGGCGGGGGGCCGCTGCGCCCCAAGCTTTAATGAGTTTAAATAGACGGAGCATAAAGCAGGGACACACACACACCCCCCCCCGCCTCCCCACGGGGCCGGTTGTGCCGGCGGAGGTGCCGGGATTTGTTCGGCTCCCCTTTCCCGCGGCTTGTGAACCCCCTGTGCGCCTGGTCCCGCGCGGGGGGGGGGGGGGGTGGGGGGGTGCGAGGGGGGGCCCCCCCATACCTCCACCTCAATGAAGGAAACGTTAAGCCGGGAAGATGGCGAGCGGCCGGGTGACGGCTCCGTTCCGCTGTCCGGGATCTCCTCCTCTTCCTCGGCACAGGCCAGTATCTCCAGCCCGCTCTGCTGCAGGGTTTGATCCCCTACGCTGCCCACGGTGGGGGGGGGGGTACACCAAATCCAGCCCCCCCCCCCCCCCCCCCCCCAAGCCTTCTTGCTCTCTTTGGCATTCCCGGGGGGTCACAGCGGGGTCTCCCCGCGTCCCTCCTGTTCCCGCAGCGTCTGCCCCGCTCCAGCTCGCACAGAGGAGTCGGGGCGGCGGCACCCCCAGTGCCGGAGCTTTACCCTCGTTGCTGCCCCCCCCCGGGACCCCCCCTCCATGTCCGGAGGGTCTGAAAGAGGGGGGCAGCTTGGGGGTGTCGCCTGCTGCAGTGAACGACTTGTCTTCTGAGCCCCTTTCCCCCAGGCGGCTTGCCCAGAGCCGGACGGATTTTGGGGACACCAGAGCGAGGGAAGGGGCTCCCAGTCCCACAGGGGGGGGTCTGGAGTTTTGGGGACCCCCCCAGAACGGGGAGGTGGGGGTGTCCCCTGGCAAAAGGGATTTAGGGGGGCCGGGGGGAGGCAGCCGATAACCAAAAATAAAGCGCGAGCCCGGCGCCGATCCCTGGCGGGGTCTGCGGTGAAACCGGCCGCTTCCTCGGTGCTGGTGGCCACAGCCGGGCCCCCCCCGCCCTGCCGCAGCCCCCCCCCCCGCGGGGGGGCCCTGCTCCCCCCCAGGCCCAGGATGCATAAAACGCCCCTCAGCAGCAGCCGCTCCCGGGGCTCTCCTGAGGTTGAAACCAAAGGCTGTTCCTTTTTCTACAGACACAAACACAACCACCTCACGCGGCGGCAACTCCCGTTGCCCCTATTTCCCCTTTTCTTTTATTATTATTAATTTTTAAAATTTTTTTTTTTTTTTTCTCCTCCTTTCTTGCTTTTCTGTTGACGGTGTCTGCGTGGCGAGGGGATGGCTGAGCCAGGGCTCGGCGCGGGGTTCGGCTCACCCCTTCCCGGCCGCTGCTGCCGATAACCAGCACCGGCACAACAAGCCAGAGCCCCCTGCGCCCCCCACCCCCCCCCCCCAGCACCGAAACAAACCCCAAAAAGGGTTTTTACAAACCGAAATGGAAGCTCTGCAGTTTCTGACTGCTCTTGGGATTTTTTTTTTTTTCCTTCTCTTTTCTTTTTCCTGTGAAAGAGTCTAAAACAAAAATGTAGGAATTTTGTAAAACTCCAGGTCGCTTTACTCCTGTAAATATCTATATTTTTTAATCAGATGTATGAAGAACAAACGATGATGTGCAATACCCCAGCCCCCCCCCCCCCCCCCCCGGGCTACGGCCCCTCCTTCCTTTCTAACGAGTTTTCATTTGTATATCGTTAATGGATTTGCTGTCGTCTTTGTTTTTCCCTTTTTTGTGAGGTTAGACTCGCTTTTGGACAAAAAACACCCCCCCTGAACCCCACCCCCCCACCCCCCCGTGACCGCAGGAGCTTTTGTATCTGTAAGATATTGTAATTACCTATTTGTGTAACGAGATCTACTACTGTAAGTTTTGTACTGTACTGGCTGAAGGTCTGTTATAAATAAACCGGAGTAATTTAACGCCTCCCCCCTGCTCCTGCCTCCCTTCTGTGGGGTGTGGGGGGGCAGGATATTGGGGTTCCCGTTGTGGGGGAAGGCGGGATGGGGGGGATGGCACACACAGGACACTGGGGACCCCCCAGGGTGAGGTGGGGACACTGAGGGTCCCCTCTGGGGTTTTGGGGGGAAGCAGACATCCCGTCCCCCCGCCCATGAGCACTGGGGGTTGGCAGGATGATGGTGGGAGGGGGGGCACAGTTGGGGGGGGGGGTGGGCCCCCCGGATCCCCCCATGGGCACGGGGGAGCGGGGCCAAGGCGCCCGGGTCCCTCCCTAGAGGTTTGGGGGGGGTGGGAGGACACATCCCCCCCCCTCCGGACTACATCTCCCAGCGCCCCCCGCGGCGGCGGTGACGACACGCGGCGGCGCTCGCGCGCTCGCGTCAAGTCGCTTCACACTGCGCGTCGCGCAGACCCCTCCGCCGCGGCGAGGAGAAGTAGTCCTCCCGTGTTATCTCCCCCCTCCGCCGCCCCCGCCCCGCGCCCCCCCCCACCCCCGCCCCGGTCCCGGTCCCGGTCCCGGTCCCGTCGGCGGAGCCGCTCCGAGGCGGCCGGGTGGGCCGTGCGGGGCCGGGGCGGCCCCGAGGCGGCGGCGGAGCCGCTTCCGGGCGGAGGGCGGGTATATAAGGGAGGCGGCGCGGCGGCCGGGCCCTCTTTCGCCGTCCCGGCAGCGAGATGGTGAGGGCGGCGGGGCCGGGGGGCACCGGGGGGGCCTTGGGGGGCACCGGGGGACACCGGGGGGGCCTTGGAGAGCACCGGGGGGGCCTTGGAGGGCACCGGGGGGGCCGCAGGGGGGAGCGGGTGGCCGCGGGGGTCCGTGTGGGGCGGCGGATTGGGGGGTGCAGGAGGCCGCAGAGCCCATATGGGTTGGGGGGTGGCTTAGGGTGCCCCAGGGTGTATATTGGGGGGAGGGATTTCGGGGGTCCCCAGGGTCCGTATGGGGCAGGGGATGCTGGGGGGGGGAGGGGGACACTGAGGGGGCCCCAGGGTTGGGGGGAGCGGGATTTAGGGGGCTCCAGGGTCCATATGAGGAAGGGGGGACGGGGGACTGCTTGGGGGGTCCCAGGGTGTATTTTGGTGGGGGGCGGGGTTTAAGGGGCCCCAGGGCATATATAAGGGGAAGGGGGTGGGATTTAGGGCATCCTCAGGGTCCATATGGAGAAGGGGGGGCTCTGGGGGGAGGTTGGGGGTGGGGGGTGTGTGTCTTGGATTCATCCTCTTCCCCCCCCCCCAGACGAAGAAGAGGAGGAACAACGGTCGGGCCAAGAAGGGCCGCGGGCACGTCCAGCCCATCCGCTGCACCAACTGCGCCCGCTGCGTCCCCAAGGACAAGGCCATCAAGAAATTCGTCATCAGGAACATCGTGGAGGCCGCGGCCGTCAGGGACATCTCGGAGGCCAGCGTCTTCGACTGTGAGGGCTGGGGGGGTGCGGGGGGGGGGGGGGGCCTCCGGGTGCACCCCAGAATGGGGCTGGCCCCATGCCCTGCCCTCCATGGCTATAGGGTTGGGGAATGGGGAGGCCTGGCCCCTTGGGCGGTTTTGGGGTGATGAGGGGGGTGCTGACCCCCTTCATTTTGCGCCCCCCCTCCAGCTTATGTCCTGCCTAAGCTCTACGTGAAGCTCCATTACTGTGTCAGCTGCGCCATCCACAGCAAAGTGGTGCGGAACCGCTCGCGGGAGGCCCGCAAGGACCGGACCCCCCCACCGCGCTTCAGGCCAGCCGTACGTATCGGGGGAGGGGGGTGGGATTGGGGGGTCACCCCCCCATCCCCACATCTGACTGACTCTCTCCTTCCCCCCCCTCCACGCAGGGTGCTGCCCCCCGGCCCCCCCCCAAGCCCATGTGAGGAGAACTCCGGCTGGACACATCGTCGTCCCCCCATCCCATGCAGAGTGAATAAAAGATCCTGCACCCAGCCTGGCTCCGTGCCTCTTTTGGGGGGGGGGGGGGGGGGGGGGGGAGGCATTTCTCTGGGGGCAGAGGGGTGTGCTGGGGGTCCTGGGGGGGCTCCCAGCCCCCGGCTTGAGGAGGGGACACACACACCAGAGTGGGGAGCCCTGGGCTTACCCGGAGGGTGGGGGGAGGGCCCCATCCTGTGGGGCTGGGGGGGGGTCTTTGCCCACAGGTGCTGTCCAGGAGTGGGATGTGGTTTAGGGGATGGATGGACAGACAGACACCCCCTGCCTGTCCCTGCTGGGGGGTCACCCCTTACCCCTAGGAGGGCGCTGGCTCTGTGCCTCCCCCCCACACCCCGAGGTCTGAGGGTTCAGGGCAAGGAGGTGCCTTGAGATGCAAGGGGGGGTGGGGGGGGGGGGGTGACACAGACACACCCAGACAGACACACCCACCCACCCGTGCCTGTGGGGCTGGGTGCTACCTGGGGGGGGGCTTCGGTGGGGCCTGGCCCTCGGGGGGAGTGTGGCAGGGGGATGTTGGGGGGCCTTGGCTTTGCCCTGCCCGGGGGGGGGGGGGGGAGTGTGCTGGGAGCTGGATGGGGCTGGGGGGGCTCTAATGGGGCCAGAAACCCCCCCACACACACACACACACCCCGTGGTACTGGGGGGCTGTGATCGGGCCGGGCTTTGTCCCCGGGGGGCACAGACCTTTGACCGGGGGGGGGGTGGTCCCGGGGCGCGGTGGCCGCGGGGAGTAGGTGGGGGGGGTCCCGCCGCCGCCCCGCCCGGTCCCGCCCCGCCCGGTCCCGCCCCGGCGGCCCCGCGCCAGGTGCATTCCCCCCGCCGCGCCCGGGCACGCCGCAGCCGCCGGGCCCTGCGAGCCGGGCCGCGGAGCGGGACCGCGATGGACCGGCACCGGCACCGGGAGCTGCTGCTGTTGCTGCTGCTGCTGCTGCTGCTGCTGCTCCGCGCCCCGGCGCCCGGCTCCGCGCAGGCAGGTGAGCCCCGGGAACGCGGCGGCGGACGGGTACCGGAGCGCTCGGGAGTCCCGGGACGGGCGGCGGGACCGGGAACACTCGGGGGGGTCCCGGTTCCATCGGTGCGGGATCCTCATCTCAGCGGCGGCCGCTTCCCCCTGGGAGGGGTCCCGGGACCCCCAGGCTTCAGCGCTGCGATCCGCGGGACCCCCACGATCCTTGGGGGGGGGGGGGACCGCGACTAGCAAGACCCCCCGCCCGGGCTGCGGCTCGGTGAGTGCCGGCGGTGGGACCGGGGCTCGGTTCCCCACTTCGGGGCTCGGTGTACCCCCCCTCTCCGCTTCGAGCAGAGGCACCTGCACCCCCCGCAGCTGCCGGGGGGGCTAATTTTAGGCTGCGGAGCCGGAACCCACCGACTGCACCAGGATCGGGAGGGACAGAGGGGGGGACCCCCGGGGGGACCCTTCCTAGGGGACCCCGTCCCCGCCTGCCCCGGGCCCCCCCCCACGCCCTGCCCCGCGGGGAGCGGGGGACGCTCCCGGAAGGGCCGGGTTCGCCCGGGAGTTGTTTTTCAGCCCCGAAAGGAAAACACCGAGGGCTGGACGCGAAGGTGGGGCCGGCGTCACCCGCCGCCGTGCCGGGCTGCTCAGGTGTGGGGGACACCCCGCCAGCACGTGGGGGGGGGGGGGGCGGCACGCCCCGGCCCCTCCACTGTGCCGTGTGCCCCGCAGACGGGGGGGCCAGCTCGGACAGGGGCCCGGCTGGATCCCACCCCAGCACCCACAGGTGCCCAGTGCCGGAACTGGGACGAGCGGGACCAGCTCCGACCCCCCCCCGACCCCCCCGCAGTTCACAGCCCCCTTTGTTTGGGGACAGGATCAGGCCCCGCAGCCACCCCACGCACACAGACCCCCTTTTTGTGCCAAGGGCAGGAGGTCAGGTCTGAGTGCCCCCTGCTCCCCAGAACCAACACCCCCCCCCCCCCCCCCCCCGGTTCCCCCGGTGCTATTCCTGGCGGTGGGGACCGGGGGGGGGGGCCGCGGTGGCACGCGGCAGATAGCGGGCGACATGCCGGAGCTGCCAGCGGGGCCCCGCGCTGATAACACCCAGCCGCGATGGCGCCCGGGGGGGGCCGTGACCCTCGGCCCCCCCCCCCACCGCGGGCAGGTGCACCCCGAGCCCCTCGTGCCTCAGTTTGCCGGGAGCTGGTCCCGGGGGGGTCCCAGGCGCTAGTGGGACCCTTTGAGTGGCCGTTAATGATTCACCAGTGTCACCCAAAAACGCTGCGTGTTCCCGCCTGTGGGGGCTGGATCCTGCCCCCCAGCAGCCTGGGGACCCCCCGCCACGCAGGTTCCAGCCGCCCCCAGAACCCCATCTTGTTTCTTGGGGGTCCCAGCTCCCCCCTCTTTGGGCCCCACTGTGCCCATCCCCGGGGCGTCGGGGCAGGGGGCCATGCCCCAGCGCAGCTGGGACCTTTTTATAGCCCCTTCCCTATTAAAATAGCTCCAGGCCGGGGAGGGGGGAGCACAGGCTGTGGCTGTGGGGGGGTGGGTGCTGGCCCCACGCCCCTTCCCATGCGTGCACCGAGCTGCCCATTCTCTGCGGCCGCCCCCGGGAGGGGGCTCGGGCCCTTCTCTGCCCCCGCGCCGGACAAAGCTGCCATTTACCCGCCCGCAGCCCCCCCCCCCCCCCCTCCCCGCACCGGGGCTTGAGTCACGTCTGAGCTGGGCCGGGGAGGGGGGGGCCCGCACCCCACTCTGCCCCCGGGGGTGCCAGCTCTCCCGCCACTTTCGGGGGGCTCAGCCTCCCCCCGTCCCGCTCACCACAATCGCCCCTTTGTGCGGCTGCGGGGAAGGGGCCGCATCCTGCCCCGTGCACAAAGGGGCCCTGTCCGTCCCGGCGCGGGGGGGCCGGGCAGTCATTAACCCCGGGGCCCCCTTGGTGCCTGCCTTCCCCCACCCCGCCTTCCCCCCCCCCCCGCCCTCGAGCTCTGGGGGGGCCCAGGCGCCCTGGACCCGGGGGGGTCGGGGCTGGATGGGCTGCGCCAGCGTTCGGGTCCGAAGTCCGGGCGTCGCGGGTGTGCCGAGCGGGGGCCATGCCCCCGGCACCCGCCTTGCGCAACCCTCGCCCGGCCGGTTCGGGCACGGCGCAGGGGAGGGGAAGGGAGGGTGGGGGAGCACCCATCCCCATTTCCCACCCCCCCCCCCCCCCCCCCCGATCCGGGCACCGCCACCCCCACAGCTGGAATGCCATGGGGGGATGATGTAGGGGCACCGCTATGGAGGGGGACACGGACACCGTGGGGACACCAGCATGGGGGGGCACACACACCATGGAGGGGACAGGGACATTGTGGGGGCACCACCATGGCCAGTATGGGGGGGGGGGATACAATGGAGGGGACAGGGAGACTATGGGGGGGGGGGGGACAACACACATGGCCAGCACAGGAGGGACAGAGACAAGGCTGTCGAGGGGGGGACATGACCATGGCCACCAAGGGGAGGACGTGGCCATCTTGGGGGGGAGGAGAGGGAGCCTGTTGGAGACATGGCTGTGGCCACTGAGAGGGGGATGTGGCCACTGCAGAGGGACCTGGCCACCCCGGGGGGGGGGACACGACACGTGGCCACGGTGGGGGACAGGGTGCTGTGCCCGCAGTGTGCGCGGGGACGCTGAACGGGCTGAGCGTGACGGGGGACGCGCAGCACCAGTACCAGACGCTGCACAAGATGTACAACAACTGCGAGATCGTGATGGGCAACCTGGAGATCGTCCTCATCGACCACACGCAGGACCTCTCCTTCCTGCAGGTGAGCTGGGGGGGGGGGGGAACAGGAGGGGGGACGCGGGGGTCCGCGCCCGCCGGGCTGACACCTCCCGCTGCCCGCAGACCATCCGGGAGGTGACGGGCTACATCCTGATCGCCATGAACGTCTTCGCCTCGCTGCCGCTGCAGAACCTGCGCGTCATCCGCGGGACCCAGTTCTACGAGGAGAAGTACGCGCTCTTCGTCCTGCTCAACTACAACCCCAACACCACCCACGCGCTGCGCCAGCTCGGCCTCAACCAGCTCACAGGTGGGACCCCCGAGACCATCCCATACCCCCCCACCCCCCCCCCCCGTGTCCTGGGACCCATCCCAGAGTGGTGACACCCCCCCCGTGCGCCCTGAAGCCGTGCTGTCCCCTCTGCGGACCCCACCCCGGGGTGACGGTGTCACCACCATGGTCTCCATCCCGGAGCGATGCCATCCCCGCTCTGCACCCTGTGGCTCCCATCCCAGAGTGGTGACACCCCCCCCGTGCGCCCCAAAGCCGTGCTGTCCCCTCTGCGGTCCCCACCCCGGGGTGACGGTGACACCACCATGGTCCCCATCCCGGAGTGGTGCCATCCCCCCGTGGATCCCCATCCCGGAGCGATGCCTTCCACCCGTGGGCCCCATTCTGGAGCGGTGCTGTCCCCTGCTGCACCCTGGTCCCCATCCCAGAGTGTTGCTGTCCCCCCCACGGTCCCAATCCAGAGCGGTGCCACCCACACCCCACCCCCCCACCCCGTGCACCCCGGGGCCGTGCTGTCCCCTCTGCGGTCCCCACCCCGGGGCAATGGTGTTCCCCCGGAATGGGGCTGACCCCCTGCAGTTCCTGTGCCAGAGGGGTGCTGTCGTCGTTCCCCACCCCCCGCCCCGAGGTGGCAGGGCTGGGGGGTGGCCACAGCCCTCTGTCACCCACCAGCCCCCCCCTCTCCCCCCACCCCCTCAGAGATCTTGGCCGGCGGCGTCTACATCGAGAAGAACGCGCAGCTCTGCCACGTGGAGACGGTGGAGTGGCGGGACATCATGCGGGACCCCCGCCTGGAGCCCGTCGTGGGGGACAACGGCAAGGCCTGTGCGTGGGGAGGGAGGGGGGCGCAGGGGGCCCCCCCCAGCAGCGGGGGGGAGGGGGTGACACCCCCTGGCTTTGGGGGGTGACCCCCCTGCGCTCCCCCACAGGCGCCCCGTGCCACGAGAGCTGCGGCGGGCACTGCTGGGGGCCTGGCCCTGA